CGAGTATGTGCGTATGTATGGACACAAAATGTAATTAATTTCAGCCTTCAACGCTTCCACAAGCCTGTACTAACTGACGGTGATGGGTCAATGGCTGTTTACTGTTGGACTGCTTATGGTGGATGCCTTATGGCTGCGGCTGTGCCGGGTGCGCGACTTGTTGGATGAATATGGATTTTTTTGGCAGTGTCCGATCAAGACCAACCCACACACATTATGGCGCTCCTGGCGTAGTGCTTACGCTAAAATTTGTGATTTGCACTGCTTCGCTTCGACGCGCAGCCGGATGTTGTAGAAACTTACATATGTAGATATGTATGTATGTATATACTTGGGTTTATGTATGTAGATCAGTCTCATATGGATAGCGATATGCAAATTCCTTTCCTGTATGCGATTTTTTGTTTTAAACTTAGTACTTACTTAGTAACCAGCGTCGCCTGTGAGCTCCTCCGTACTTGACGATTTTCGTTTTTGTTTGTTTGTTTTTTTTTGGTTTTGTGCTTTGTGCGGCCGTAATGATGAATCCGTTTCTACAGTTAAATCATCAGAGCGCAGCGGCATAGAAATTAATTCGGTGCATTGTTTCATTTTAACATTTCAGTTTATTTATTTACATATTTGTTTGTGATGAAATTTTGCGGATGTGCCCGTTGTCCGGTGATCGCCCCACCGTTCATTATCATTATGGGCATGCGCCGGAGGCAATGCGAATGCCAACATTAATAAGATGCACAGCAACAACAAACAATGACAATAGCAAAAACAATAATAGTGGCGAGCACACGCTTACCTACATTTCTCCTAAACAAATTTGCTTTGAATTTACGAAAGAATTCATGCAAATATACTTATACATACATATGCACATGTGTAGCAAACTTACATACGTACGCAGACACATACCCTGCAGGAATTGTATGGAACTATAAGCTAACTTTAGGTTGATTAGTAAGGAGCTAAAAGTCACTTATTTTCTGTATATTTTCTTTGACGAAAGCTAACTACATATATTTCTATGCCGATGGCCGCGAAATAGTCAAGGGTGGTTACCTCTGCATTTGATGTAACTAACTACTTTTGGACATAAAATATCAATAGGAAAAACATTTATTTTTTTATTTATTTTATTACATTTCATATTTGTTTGCATATTTTGCTGTAGGTGGTCCCATATTCGAAATCCGTCAGACATACATAGCTTCAAAATAATAACACAAAATTTCGATCTTCCTTTTGTTTGTCCTCAATTCGAAAAAGTATTTGCGAAGTGCAGGATATTTAAATAGCAACGCGTTTGAAGAAAACAATCTCCTTCATTACTCCTGCATTACTTGTCAACTAGTTTTTTTTAGCTAACTACAAGTTATATCTCTTTTTGAAATCCCGTAAAAAAGCTAACTACAAGTGGATTATTTTTTATCAATTGATATTTTTTTCTGCAGGGTATGCACATACATATGTACATATGTATGTAGATATGCTCGAGGGACATTTTTGCACTGTTATCGCTGGCGCGGATCAACACAAAGGTCACAGTACGTTGAGTTCATTTGCAAATAATAGGCGTGACAAGTGCGTTACGCTCCGTTGCGTGCCGTAATCAGCTTCAGCGTAAAACCGTCAACTACACAGCCTCAGCTTCTGCTACAACTTGGGCTTTGAGCACCTATGTATGTACATACATAATAAAGGAGTATCTCTCAGTTCCAACATCAAAGTCCCACAAATTATTTCGTTTTATACAAAAGATAATTACAAGATTTTGGGAATTTTTATTTTTTCGCTGTGATTATAAAAACAATTCAAATTTAATTTAAATGATGATGTACAAGTTGCTATCTTGCAACAAGGTGCCAAATAAATACTTGTACGATTTTAGCTATGATTCAGAGTGTGGTGCGGGTACGCATGGCCGGCTGCTACCGAGTTCTCTGTTGAAAACCAAACAAAAAGTGGAAACATATAAATTGTCAAATAAACATACATAAATAAATAACAAATATATTTATAAAGTACTTACTTGTCATTCCAAACTGAATTAGTACAAAGAGGTAAGACATAATGGCCGATATAATGACTAGAATGAACTCATTATTGAGGTGAAAGAAACCCAAAACACTAATTTCTAGATTTTCCACTTTGCGTTGACAAATGAACGTTTCAACCTGAGGTGGAGAAAATAAAAGCGAAAAAAAAATTGTATTATATGTAATAAAAATAACCCTGCAAGAAGAGTGACAATCATAAGACAGGTAAAATGTTGGGCAATACTGATAGAAATACTCGTCATAACTTTGTATGAAAGTTTCTATCAAAATGTTAAGAGTAATGCGCAAAATTTGATGGAAGTAATCGTATACACGTGAATCACCAATGCAATGATATAAAAATTGGTCACATCCCGTCGTTTCCGACTCGTTTTGGTGAACAATTTGTTCGCCGGCGACGTTCGCAAACGACTCGCCAGCGAACTCACTGTCGGATGAAAAGCACACTTCGCCGGCGGGCCGTAAAAACGACTTACCGGCGGGTCGCAAAAACGACTCCCCTGTAGCCCGCAAAAACGATATACCAGCGAACTGCAAAACGATGCTCAAAATTTATACCAAATTTAAAGTAAAAGTACAGTTTTATACCAAATTTAAAAAGACTTCATACCCACAAATTTTATTTTTTATTAATAACGCCATAGAGTGAACAGTGCCTTTATTAAAAAAAATATATGAACAAAATAAGAAATAATATGAAGAATATTACGAATACTGAAAAATATGTAGGCGGCTTAATTTTCTGAATACAAGTGTACATTGTGGATTCCATATTCTGTCGTAATAAAAAATTGTCATAATAAAAACGGTTTACTATCCAAATGAAAGACTTTTATTTATACTTAGGTATGTATATAACTATGTGGGCGTGGAACTTGTCCAACCCAGACCGAAGGTTCCTCAAAAAAATTCGAAGAAACGGATTCGTTTCGAGTTCACCCAAACGACTTCACCAGTCCAACGTCGGGCCGACTTCTAAAAATTATTTTTCCATTTTAAAACACTTTAATTTCCTTTAGAATACTCATCTTTGATTCCTTTCTCGCTTAAATCAGAAACAGGTCTTTGGTAACCTGTCCTCGAACCCAAAACACACTGATGGAAGTTTACAGCTCTACCTACCCAGCTAGCTGAATTCAAGAAAACATTAGATATAACTAAGAAAAGTTTCTTTTTAAATGATGCAGTCAAACTGAATTTCTCTGTAATTTTTGAAGGGTATTTTTTTTAATTTTAGGAACTTAATAAGAATTTCAACCACGGTTGCCATTTCCAATTTATTTTTCGATCCAAAGAGCATTACGATTGTATATTATTAACATTATATTATTTAAAGTTGTAAATTATAATTTGTTTCTTAATTTCGTTTTTATAACGCTGTTGCGGAACTGTGAGGCAGACTAAAAATGTTATGAACTAAATCACACAATTCTCCGAAGGCCATTTTTAATCAAACTTACTTGATCCCAAAACGTCTGCATCATTTACCAATGCAGGAGATTGGTCCAGTAGCGGCAAAATTGATACATGAGTATCAGAAAGAACTTTATGTGGTGTTTCAAGGTGTTTAATATCTTTTCGATTGAAATATAATATTATTTTCATGTGCTAAATGCTATGATTAAAGTTTTGCTACCGTTCCATATTTTTTCCAGCCAATTTAATATTGCTCACCGAGTAATGGAAGTTGCCAATCAGCCCTGTGCTGTATATCGTCATCGTCATCGTCGACGATCGTCAGGGCATCAGTAACATGGCTGACGATGGCCGTTTTGTTAATTTTACTGATGATGCCGATATTCAACATAGGGCGGAATATTCATCGTGAAATGGACCATTTTAAAAAGAGTTGGACCATGGACCAAACGAAAAGAAATGGACCAAATTTGGACCAAATCTCTAATAACGAGCCAATCTTCTTGTTTCTATGGATCCTCTGGCTAGGTCATGTCGTTCGAATGAAAAGAAACTCTCCAGTTCTGAAAGTATTCAACGCAAATCGGGTCGCTGGTAATAAATGAAGGGGAAGGCCTCCTCTGCGTTGGAAAGACCAGATCGAGAAAGATTAGGCTTCACTTGGTATTTCCAATTGGCGTCAGTTAGCACAGAAGAGAAAGGGGTCAATAAAGAAGAAGAGGGGATGAACCAAATAGAGTGGTGCCCAGTACCAAATCTATATGTTCATATTTTTGACGAACACCCTAGCATACATGTGTACATACATAGATAATGGGTGTTAAACTCGGTCTTAAAGAATTTTTTGTTGAACACAATTTTTTTATTGAAACCTATCGGAGCACTTGCTAATTCCATTTCTGCAGGTCATCTAATTAACAAGTGAACTTTTGATTCTGTCGTAAGAACCAAAGCGCCCTCCTGAAGGGACTGACTGCAATGACTGAAAAAATAGTAATCGGAAAGAGTTATGTACGTCTAGTGAATCTGTCCATCTGAAGATGCCCATTCCGACATCGAGAAAGCTTTTAACAATGTCCTTCAGAGGGCTACTGTCAGAGTCCTTAGTAAGCTTGAGATCAAAACCGTCGTAACAGAGCTTAATTAAAACATGTGCTGCGACAGAATTGTGGAGTGGAGTAGTGCCACCATACAGCGCAAGGTTAACAGGGACACGGTACGGAGGATGGTGTTCTCTCTTTGGATTTCAAACGAAAAATAATCTGATAGATGAACTGGAAGACTCCCATGTTATTACCTGCGCGAATGATGCTGCGCTTTTAGTTGGCAGTAAATTTCTGGAAACCCTCCGAGATTTGATCCAAGTATACTAATATCTGGTAACTAAATTATCAGCGACTGGGGCACAATAGACCTATTGGTCGGGGTGCTTACCCTACTATTATTCTATCTGCGAACTGCAAGCTCGCCGTATGTAGTATAAAATACCCTAACGACCTTGACAAAATCAAGTACCTGGTCTAAATTTTCGATGAGAAGCTGTCGTAGAAGTCTATTTTTGAGGAAATATCAAAGAAGGTACCGTATTTAAACCTATAATATTTCATGGAGCTCTGGTCCAGTAGAAGGTACGAGAAAATAGTACACCAGTCGGAAAGTTGGAGCTGAACTAGCGGGTCACACTTATTTGAAACATGGGGTCACTTGGAACTACTGTCTCTCTGGTGCCAGTAGACTTAAAGGCACGGGGTGCTTAATTGACTCAGGATCTGAACACACTAGTATTCTGGACTCTTAGTTATTCCTTCACTCATGTTTTCCGAAGGAAGTTTTCATGTTTTCAGTTTCGATGTTTTCGATAGTTTTGGGTCTTACCATTCGATAGTATCGTTACTATCGGTAAGAGATGCATAATCTTAAGAGAAAAAAGTATTAGATCTTTACTACGGCTCTAATTACATTGAATATGGAAACAGAGAGGGACACTTTAACAATTTTTGACTAATTTTGTTTTGCGTATTTAATGTTTATTGTCCAAAAGTCCGACTCCGATCAAGTTTCATAAAAATTTCGAGTTTTTTAATTAGGCTTCTTGGAAAAAGTTTGAGTATATACTTTTGTAGTATATTTAATTTTATTATTGTAATGGCGCTGATTATTATTTACTTATATACAATATATAGTTACTAGTGTTTTCATCAACTATTTTGTGTTGCTTGTTTATTTCCTTTTGTTCATTTTATCGTATTCATTTTTTTATGTACTTGCATTTTTTTATCGCCGCGATTGTGCTTGATGAAAATCTTACTAATTTTCTAATAATTGTCGCCACCATTGTTTAAACATACCAAAACCTAACTATAACTTATTTTGTTATTCTGCCCATGTGCATGATTTATTCGCCTATTTAAACAAGCATTATAAGAAGATCAGGTCATTCGATCAGCGACTTGCAAATAAAGCGCATTTCTTAAATTAAATTCGCCTTTTCAAACAGGTGGCAAACCACTTAAAATATATTCTAATACTACAACCTTATTAAACCCCTTTCGTCCCGCGCCTATATTTGTATACATATTCCAATTACCATATATCCTAAACGCGAGTAAAATTTGATAATTAAAATAGGTGGCAACCCTCATTCATGTAGTTTAGAAATACAACCGTTTCAATACCATTTCAGTTGATACTGATAACAATTCATTTTAAATAAGCAAGGCTAATACCGAGTTTGGTAAGGATTGATGAAGTGGCTACTAAGATAGAGTATTTCATCATAAGTGGGCAGGGTAACGCTCCTTTTCCAAAAATTTCATAACAACATTATTTTGTACCAAAATTCTACTCACATACTAATTTTCCACAATTTGGATCCAACATTTACTGAAATAACATAGCCGTTATATGAGAAGGGGTTGTGGTTACAGTCCGATTTCGCCTATTTTCAATAGCAACCTATATACCAAATTTATTTGAGATATCTTAGCTTTTGCTCGAGTTATCATATACCCGGATAGACAGACATGGCTTAATCGACTTCTCTATTCATTCTGGTCATTTATGTACATATAGCATTTTCAACTTAAATGAAGAAATATATCTCAATTAACTTACGCTTACATCCCAACGTTCATCGATATCTGAGCAAATTAAATCCAAATCCAGTGAATCGGGCAATTGTGACTTTGCCACTACGGCATCGGCACACATAATTAACAGGACCAAATTACAGAGCTTGAAAACAGAAGAGAACAACGACAGCAAGTCTATATAGCCCGTATGAAAGTAACGCAATATAAACTGATGTAACTGCATCAGAATAATCACAAAGTTGTAGTAAATGTAGAAGGATATCTGCCAGCGGAAAATGTGATAAAACCGCTGTGTAACCTTGTACAACGAAGTATAAATGACACTGCTTTCGTCGATACTCTCGGCATGAATGCATAAAAGCTTCATGCGTTGATGGTTGGTTAAGCGCCTGTGTGGTGGCTGTTCGGCATCAATGATCCTCATTGTATCAATCATTTGCGCCAGATGTGCAGCCATTTCGACATACATTTGTCTGATAACCAAAAAGCCGACAAAGCAACAGTCCAACATGTATATTCTACCCAGCCAAAGGTAAACGCCTGCCAATAAAGAGCCACTAACTCCGCTCTCGAATATCAAGGGGATCTCGTATATTAGGCCCAATCCACTAAGAATGAGCTTCAATATTATACACATTACAAATGTTCATCCCAGCATTGCCTTAGCATTCGTCTTCGCTGAAATTTGCTTATAGATATGAATAAATCGCTGAATTACATCAAATATTTCATATTCCGAACGTTGTTGCGTAACAAAGCAGATTATCGAAAAAATACTGACAGAAATGACCTGCACCTGTGCGAGTATGGACATGAAAGAGTTGTCCGCATGTATAAGGAAAGATGCAAACATTGCTGGCATCAGCTTCACGTAAAAACCCGTAACAAATACACGCCAAATCAATATAAAAATGCGATGCCAACGCTTAGCTTTTCGTAACTCCATCTTATCTTGCTTTATTCTCCAACTAAAAATGCTCAATATGCGCCCTTGGTAGTAGAGGATAATCAGCGTCCATAAAGCGCTCCGATCACTACCGCTGCGACTGTACTTCGGCATAATTATAGACAGACTAACTGGCTTCAGAATATACATATGTAGATAAAATTGTCAATGGCTTGACAATGGGGCGGGGGCGGAACGTTGTGTTAAAAAAGAGACGAAGGTGCGGGTAAAACAAAAACGTGCAACCAACACTAGTAGCCGCTACGCTGAACTTCCCTTAATTAATTAAATAAAGTGTATAAGATCTTGTCGATAGTTAAGTGGCCACAGGCGGCCCGCTGGCAATGTTTATGAGGCCACGCTGATAAGTGTGCGTTAAATTAACCACTTAGCGGCAAAAAATACTAAAACTTATATCGACATATCGTTATTATAGTATGGTAAGAGCGTATCTCCTCACATCATTGCTGAAATGCAAAAAAGCCACAACTAACTAAAATTTTGTATTGCATAAAACGATGTGGGGTCTTATAATTCGAAGAAATATGACATAGTGAAAACCAGTCTTTAGAAATTAACAACTTAGAGGAAATTTCAAATGAATATTTAAAATGCACTTAAGTTTAATTTTGAATTGTTATTTAAATGCGATTTATCCCTCTATTCGTTGAATTGTAGATCAAGTTTTTTCAAATATACGAAGAAAGTGGCAACACTGTTGCTTGTTCCTTGAAATTGTTGTTGCGTTTGTTTGTTTACATTTTGTGCGTGTGGTACAAACACAGGGTTGCATATCTCATTTTTGAATAGCCATTATTGGTCATTTAAATACAAAATAAATATGTGATATAAAATTGAATTTCGCCATTTAAATAGCTCATCCGAAACTGGGCCTAAGTGGTACAAGACAAAAGGGCGGGTAGGTTAACACCAACCAAGACAGACCAATTTTGACATTTTTGATACAATTGTACTTTTTTGATACAATTTCGTTTACAATATACTTTCCTACTACGCAGTACCATTTAGTATAATTTTGTGATGAATGCTAAAGATATATAGCCCTGAAAATTCACAGCGGGACGTTCTCTTATACTACGTTCAAATTGATAAATTAAACATGTTAAATGGGCTTGAACCAGTTAAATGAAAACAATCTGTTTATAAAACAAGATAAATCGCATGCAATTGTTGTTGGAAAATTGAACCAGTTAAATCATTTAACTACTTTGAAAACCAGTTCAGCGCAGAGTTGCATCAAAAAGCTTTCTGCTTCAGCCAATCAGAAAGAGCCAACGGCTTTAATTTAACAATTTTTATGTTTTCAAAAATATTAAAAATTAAAAAATATCAAAGTTGTAAACATGTCTCATCATACGCAGAGATAAATAGTAATACAACGAAACATGTTTGGAGGTTAATTGCGGCAAAACAACAATGTATGAAGGGAATTCAAACCAGCTGACTTTTGTCCAATCAAAATGCGCCGTTTTGTTTGCGGGAACGTTTTCATTGTGCCGCCTCGCCATGTTATGGGCGTTCTGTCAGTCAAAAGCATCCCTGTGACGCAGAACATAATAATTTGTTGCTGGTGGCAGTGCTACTTGTGCTATTTACGAAACGTATTAACGTCATAAGTACAGTTTATGTCAAATAATTTCAAAGCGAAACTGCCTCCTTTTTTTGTATCGTGGTTATATATATTCTTTGGTCATTTCTTTCAATTTGCTTGCCGTAACAGGGACTCATTTTTTACATTTGTTTTTTTTCCACTCAAGTATATAATTTAACCAAGTTTGAAGTCATTTCAATTTGAAATAGGTGTAAACAACATACAAAACTTTTGGGGTTTTTGCTCAAAATCGAAACATTTTTTATGAATAGTATATTTTTTCCTCTCTGATTGCGATAAAATTTTTAGGAGGGTATTTTATATCAAAAAAATCAAAAATAAAATGTATTTCCAACAAATTTTTGGCAATTTCCCTAAATAAATATTTGTCGGATCGCAAAAATAATGGCAAGCTCGGATTCCTCGCACTAACAACCTCCAATATCAATTTTCAGAGCCACCGAAAATTAGAAAATTTCGTTCCAAACTTAAATTTGATATTACTCGATTAAAGGACCTAACCTGAAAATATTATTAAATAATAATAATATTACAATGGCGCTTACACATATGCTAGTGCTTGGCTAGCTTCTCCTCCGACTTTGTGGCGTGCGCTTGAATATTCGATTTTTATAAGGTATTCGAATAATCGTAGGTAGCTTTGCGATTATTCGAATAATCGAAGAGAAATAGTAACATTCGATTGGCAATCGTAGACATCCATGCGAACACAGATATATATGTACTATGAACGTATGTATCTAACGACGCTTAAAACCAACTCCGTTTACACACAATTCAACGATTGCTTTCACCATTTTAATCTTCATAAAGATGTGGCTGTTTTATGATCGCTTAAAAAGTTGCTTTCTATGTATGACCAGGAAGTATACTAAGCCATGCTACGCTTAGTGGAAAACTCGCCCATACAACTTTCTTTAGTATGCAATTGTGCACGTGTAATACAAACTCAGCATAAAGTTTTCTTACATATGTTTCGCGCAAATGCTTTCAAAAACAAAACGTAAAAAGAAGGTACGGTGACCATTCGTCTTGTATTATACGGGACAGTCCTCTTTTTCATCAATTGCCAAATGTTCTATATTTCTTTTAATGTCTCGTATTTGTCCCGTATCCGGTATTTTGACACCTTAAAAGCTCATAAAAATTACCCGAATCTGAAGATCGAAAAACATATGTCAAATAAAAATGCGTTTGCGCTAATAAATCTAAGTTCATTGAGAGATGTTTTAAAATCCTCTAGCTTTAGTGGAACATATTGGCAAAATTATTTTTTGTCCCGTATTCGGCTGCCATAAATATGGTCACCGTACGTACTAGGTATAGCAACAAATACGTTTGATTGTAAAAACGTTTGTAAGTGCAAGTGCATACTCTTACATATTATATGTATGTAGCTGAGATGGTAAAAAGCTTGAATCCTGTTCGAGTAAAAGCAGCTAGATATGTATTTATGTACACTAGGGTGGTTCAAAATAAGTAAAATCGGAATTTTAATGCTTACAACCCCTAGTATTGTTCTATAGCGAAAATATGTATATATGTATGTACCCCTATATTTTATTTTGAAATCAAGAAATATTTAGAGGTCGTTCAAAGCGCTCAAAGTTTTCCATGTATTTTATATTGGGAAAATAACAAGTTTTCGTAGAAATGGTGTGGAATTCTTGAAAATCAATATTTTTCGATCGGAAAACTCTGGTTCTCTTCAGGAGACTTCCAGTAACAGTACCCAAATATTTTATTAAACATTTTTTAATACTAACGTTTTCTATTTATCCCCCCCCATTGCATTTTCTGGCATTTTCTGTAGGTTTTGGCGGACCTATAAAACATAGTTACTATGAGCGACCTCTAAATATTTTTTGATTTCAAAATAAAAAATAGAGGCAAATTTTTTTCGATATAAAACAATGCTATGGGTGAGAGCATTAAAATTCCGACTTTACTTTTTCACAAGCAATTTTGGACCAGCCTAATGTGCACTCTGTTTTTAATATTAATGTACACATATGAATGTATGTATTTAGAATAGACGATACAAACAAGGCATTGCAGCTTTTCCAACAAATACGACTGCACCAACTCAGTGCCCTACGAACATCCGAGCGTTTGACGCACGTAGCATCTCCAAGTATAACAGGTTTCCTGTAATTCTAGTGTCCATCGACTAGCTGGTTTTTATGATGTTCATACACACACACATACACATATGAAGATGCACAAATAAATGTGCAGATGTATTAGGGTGATTTTTTTGCGACTATTGTGTTTTTTCACTCCTACCTCGAAATTTTGTGAAAAACACCTACAAAAAAACTCCCTGAAAATTTTAACCCTTAATATTAACATTAAGTACTGGCCCAAAGCGTGCAAAGATTTCCCATATAAAATACACGTAAGCTTTGATTCTTTTTTCAAAACTACTGCTCAGAGACATTTCATGATGTAATTGTGGTCAATGACGTATTTTCTTCAGAATTGAATGCTCGCCATTGCGGAGTGACTCTAACTCCCACCAGCGAGTTAGTACGGGTCACCAAACCTAACATTTTCATTAATTTCCCGTTTTTTTTGCCCCTATCTCGTAAATAACAAGTGTTAATATTAAGCGTTCAAATATTTAGGGAGATTTTTTTTTTAGGTGTTTTACACAAAATTTCGAGGTAGGAGTGAAAAAACACAATAGTCGCAAAAAAGCACCCTAATATGTACATATATATTTTTGCTTGCATTGACGTTTATGTTTGTATGCAACATGTACAGATTATCTATCTGGTGAATTGCAACGGCAATAGTAACCTCAGTTGACGGCACCGCATCTTTGGCCAATTGCCGCCGCTTGGATTTGCAGTTCATATGGCGCAACCAACCAGTTCTTTGCCGGCACCGCATCACAGCGCCATGCAGCAAAACTCAGTGTGGCTCCTCTATGACGTTGCGGTTAAGAGAGTGCCTCGACGTAAAATACAGTTACCCAATGAGCGTTTTGCTTCGAGCTAAACACGAGGTAGAGTTTGAATATTTTCGAGTGGTTTTAATTCTAATAGCCATGCGAATATCCGATGAAAATAGTAGTGGAAGTTCTATCCGGATAATAAGAATATTTGAATGTGTATGATTAAATAACCGGAAGAGGGGGGCTCCACTTCTTTCACTTGGCATGAATATCTTAAGGTCAAGTAATATTTTATGCAGTATTTAAAATAATTTAGAATAAGGTCGATGGCCACTAGCTGCTAGTACCTTAGCTTT